CCCCATTCCCGTGTCTCCCCCATTCCCGTGTCTCCCCCATTCCCGTGGCCGTGTGTCCCCGCAGCGCGGAGCCGCCGTCAGGGGGCGCTCGTGGCCAGCGCACGGCCCCGGCCCGCGCCGCCCTCCCGGCCGGGTGCCCCGGGGCGTGCGGCAGCGCTGGGGCACGCGGTACCTTCGTCTGATCCGGCAGCTAATCTTTTATACTAACGAATCCAGAAAATATGTTACAAAGTGCATTGACTGTCCTGACTCAGTGTTTTTTTCGGTTCTTAAATCAGCCTAAATGTGCCGTGTGTTCTAAGGCTCAGTCTAGATGGGGAGAATTCCATGTGAGTGTATCCTAAAAGCAGGGCAGGAACTTGCTTGTGCTGCGGGTTTGCTTCTTTGCGTCCCAGTTCTACCACGCGTTACTAAGAAAGAGAACGCAGCAATTGTGATGGAACTCCTTGGCATATCTAAAGGGATTTACACTACTGACTGCAGACTTAAAAATTGCATATCAACAATTCCTCTTCTGACAGTATTGCACAAACTGCCTGAACTGCTTTGTTTACTGCATTTCTGGATTCTCAAGTTGATTTTTACTGTAGGGGCAATACTTTAAAGTAGTAGGCTAATCCTTGTGTTCAACATCGAATTTTATATCAAAAAACAGAAATAATTTTGCTCTCTAAAGTACTATGCATATTAAAGTTTATTTAAATCAGTTTTCATTTAAATTCTGCTGCAAAATAAGTTAGTGTAATTTCATTTAAAATGCAAAATGTTCTACTATCTCTTAGCTTTTTTTTTAAAGAAAACATATTTAATGGCTTTTTTCCTTGAGCAATTTTAAACAGAAAAATCTAGCCTAAAATCTGTTGTAGGTTGCTTGATTTTTTTTCCGTAATTCGTAATTGCAGGAATTTTATTATGATACTTAATAAACTTCCATGCTGTACTTTACTGAAAATTGTGTTTAAGAATATTCGCTTACTTAGCCTGAAAATAAAGTTAGAAAAGTGTCGCTTTTAAGAGAGAGGTAGTTAGATTTATATAACTGATTTTTCGCATTAAAATGAGCTGGGAGACTGTATCCAACTCAGCTATGCATTTAAACATTTTGTTATATGGAAGATTTCATCTTGAAGCCAGAAGTTTTACTTCATAGCTTGTGTTCTATCTTAGCTGTATTCTTTATTTGTAATAATGATATACAATAAATTAGTTTGTTATATGGATATTTCTTATAATTTTGTAAGACTTGCAGAAAGTCATTAATTTTTATATGGCCAGCAATATGAAAGCCCAATTTCTTTTACCCTCAGTTTTGGTAAAATATTACAAATGAGCTATTCTGAATTTAATTTTTTTGGTGCTAATATAATCAGCTCGGCATTGACTAAAGACATAAAAGAGCACAGAAGCACATACCCAAATAAATAATGAAAGTATATATACACACACACACACACACACATTTAATATGTGCTCTTGTGTCTACCTCTGTGTTTGGAGGAACTAAAGCTTCATTCAGAAGGAAGTGAAAAGCTTGTGAACACAACACTGTCAGTTCTACTGAAAACTTCCAGCTTCTTCATCCTTGATGATGATTCCTTGGTCCCGGACAATGTGGTACGGGAATGGCTGTTGCAGCAGGACTGCCTGGATCTCACTCTCTGTGCTTTTTGTATGTCTTGCTGAGTCTGTAGCATGACCTTTCTTAAGGGACCAATTATTAGTGGACCTTGTGGTTTGCCTTGGCCATACATTTGGACTCTACACTCATCTGTTCTTTTCCCAGTGGGACTGGACCAAGAGGAAGAGAGAGTTCTTTCAACACCTTCTTATTACCTCTTTCCATTCCCCCTCCTTTCCTTTTTTGCTAATGCAAGTATTTAGCCATTTCCTTTCCCTAAGAAAGCTGTAATAAACTTGAGGGAGCTAAAGGAAAGCACAGCAAAATGAGCAGATCACATCTTTTTTTTTTTTTTTCTGAGAGCTAAAATTAAGGAAATGCCTATAGGTCTATTGAAAAGCAGTTCAAATCAATAAATCTGTGTGAGAGGTAATAGAAACTGATTGAAATAAATAGTAGCAGTAAATTATGAAAAATAATTTTAATTCTTACTACTTGTTCAGTAATGTTTTATGGACTTATCAACTGCATAATGTGGAAAAATTATGTAGCATTATTCTCTAAGAAAATGTTCCATACTCAAAGTATAATACACATGAAACCTAAGTTGCACCTCCTTTGTTCATAGTGTTCATATTTATTTTTTTGATGGAAAGGCAGAGACAAGAAGCTGGCCCAAGGTTCAGGACTGAATTTGGAATTAATAGTTGAGGAACAGACTCAAAATCCATTCTGCTGGCAGGAAATCCACTGCAGCAGTGGAGTTAAAGAGATATAAGATTTTTTTTTATAAAAAATTGTGGAACTTTAAAGGTGTTCTAAAAAGGTGTTCTAGAAAAGAGAGAAAAATCCTTAGTAGAATTTATGTTTGTATCTTTATTTTAACATTAGTTGTTTATGATTAATATGTATTGTGAAATCTTGTGCTGCAGTCAAAAATATATGGAGAAACTGAGAAAGCTCAAACTGAGCAAATCTTACTTATCTCTGTAGTGTGAAGGTAAGCCAGTGTATAGAATCTTAGTATCAGCAAAATTTAAGAAAGTAAAATCTACTTTAAAGCTCTAGTGAAGATGAGCAGGGTGTGCATAGTTGCACATGTAGTAGTGTACAGTAACTTAGATTTATATAATTCCTTATTGACTGCATCTACAAAATGTTTTTTATTGCAGATAAGGCTCTCACCCATCTCACTGAAGAAGTTTACTCTGTTTTGGTTTATGGTGTATCAGTTGATAAGTTGTAGTAGCAGTATGTAGCTTGTAATATGTATCTTGCCTTTTGTTTCACTGTGCTGAATGCACAGTTTGATTTCTTTTATTGGATTACATGCTTCAGTACAGTGTAAATTCATGCAGTAGAAAAATATACATGAAAATAGGTTGTTTACAGTAAAATACTGGTATGTCTTTGTAAGTTTAGTGTGATAAATCCTCTGTACGTATTAATAGCCAACATGCAGACATGTGGAGTTCTAGTCAGTAATAAAAATGGAAAGATTTCTTAAAACTTTTTTAGAAAACAAGAAAGGCATATTCTTTGTGTGATATATATAGGTCATAAGGGACATCTGCTAAGGATAATTTTCTAACACTTGCTAACAATCTCAATGTAATATGGCCTATTCATCAGTCATATTGTTCCTGACTTGGCTAGCATGGATTTTAGTGATTCCCGATGTGCATTTAGACTCAATTGCTAGTTTCTTGCTGTTCTATCTTATTGTTTTGTAGGACAATGCATAAGCGGGCACAGAATAATCAAAATGGTTTCCCTGGCCATATTAGGCACCTAAAAAGAGATGTATTTGCTGTGCAATGTGTGCATGTTTTTGCAAGTAGAAGTCTCGTTGAAACAAAATAAATCTTACTGGGGGAGTAATTCCCGGATTTGAACATGCTGTTCAGTGTCTTTGTGTATATGTGTGTGTGTATATATATATATATATATACACATATATATATAAACCTGATCCATGTGATGTGTATTGCAGGTTTATAGTGTTCTTTCATGCAGCAGAGAAATCAGAGGGGTAAGGGAGGAACTACAGACTCTGAGCATCATTATTTGGAAGTTCTCGATAAACTATTAAATTGTGCCAGTTTTGTGTCTTTGGTTGAGAAACAAAAGCTTCTTTAGAGATATTTGCAGTGGAGCTGAGATCTAATCTTTTAGGTTTTAATGAACTCAGAATTTCACTTAGCTGCAAGGCATTTGACTCCTGAAGAGCTGCATGTAATGTTCTTGCAGCTTGCACACGTGAGGCAGATAGTGCTGGGCTTCATTATTTGAGGGGAGAGATGTTATGGTGGGGGTTAATTTTTTGATATTACTGAAGAAGGAAAACTGACCAGGTGAAGTTTGGCAAAATTACTGAAAGGGGTGTTTGCAATTTGTTTCAAATGTAGATGGAAATAAGGATTTTTTTTTTTCTTTTCACCAATTTGTATTGCTCCATTGTTCCATACTGTGCTCTTACCTACAGCTAGAAAAATAACTGTTTAATGCTTTAGGATAACTGTTATAATAATTAAGTGCTTTATCTTGATCTGTTTTTTGCTACTCCGTGGTAGTGAAAGGAAAGAAAAGCTAGAAATTGTAGCTTTTGCAGCAATTTGGGGAAAACTTTTCTTTATAACTTATTGCAGGTATTAAATCTTGTTTAAAACCAAGTGTTATCCCTCTGATCAGTTTTGGGAAGAACAAAACAATTTTATTTTCTAGATTTGTTACTTTCATTTTTACTCAGTTGTTTTAGCAAAGCACTGTAGATGATCTTTAAAATC